GAATTTATGTCACGTAATTGATCAATTATCCCTAACCTTTGCTTAGATCAATATTGCCAATATTGCTGTCTGCTTGCTTGTGCTGTGCTAATTATTACACTCCTTATGTGAATCTCTTCCACGCATTGTGAAGTCATTAAGATAGCAATAATTTCATGTATATGGTAGTGCGACTCTATAATATCTTATTTTTTACTATCTTTACTAATGAACTTCTCTCCCCCAGTCCACAAACACTTCCGGGAATATCCAAAACATAAAGGTACAGTTGGAGCAAACTTATTTTCATGTAATTCTGCTTTTCTGCCCATCTAATTTCCTATCCAAATAAAAAGCTCAGTCCTAGCAGGGTCTCATTTCCAGCATTGTTTGACATTGTTGACTGACCTTTTGAATGGCCTTGAAGTTTAACTTAGTAATTCAATATCAGTTTTTTCATCGTGTTAGCATTTGAGAGAGCATTTATCTTAAATTGTTCATGCCTGATTTCTGTGTGAGGCCCATACGCATCCATACGCAATACATCCATAATGAAGCATTGACTTTTTTGTATCTACATATTTATATAGTTTTCAAGGACTAACCTATAATGCATCACATTCAGAACTTAGGTTTGTTTTCCTCAAACAACTCTACAAAGTACTTGAAATTTTTTAAAGGGAATTATTCTCCAAACAGCACAATGATCACAATGATTGATGCATCGTATATAAAGCTTCACCAAGGGTCTCATAATTGGTTTGCATACTGTACTCAAACTTCACATAAAAGAATGCCATAATTCTCTGCATACCTTTACGGGTAATGTGGTTGATTTTATTCACGCTTGAGCAGTAAAACATCATGCAAAATTTACAAAGAGCATTTACACCTTACACTGCATGCGTGAATATACCTTTTTCACAGCAGTCATTTTGACATGAAATAATAGGGTAAACACAGGTGTTACCAATTATACTAATTAAGGTTCCGTTCCATTTAGTGATTTAGTGTAGCAGAGCCTTTATGACGAGCCAACATGCACAACAGCAGCACTGTTTGATCTGAACATAACAGAACCTTAATTAGTATCATTGCCTTTGTTTACCCTACTATTTCATATCAAAATGGCTGCTGTGAAAAAGGTCTATTGGTCATAGTAACTGACTGCCGTAAAAAAAACAACACAGGTCTGCTTGTCTACTGTGTCAGTGGAAATGAGACAAAAACTGACATACTTATTACTTTACTTTTTATGCAGGGAAAGCATTTAAAAGTTGATGCTTTGGCTACACTGTACCGTAATCGTTGCAATGAAATGTGGATCCGACATTCATGTCCCTCTCAGGATGAATTGTAATTACTTTGGCGTTCTGCTGACCTTTAATTTCTAGTGCCTTCATCGGGTCAACATTTCTGTTTGACATTCTCATCAGCTTCAGCTTGTGTTTAGTGCTATTTAGCAAATGTTAGCATGTTAACATGCTAAACTAAGATTGCTACACATTCTTAACATCAGCATGTTTTCACTGTGAGCATGTTAGTATGTTGCTTGAGCATTTAGCTCACAGCACCGCTGTACCGAAGTACAGCCTCACAGAGCCGCTAGCGTTGCTGTAGACTCTCATTTGGTCCATTTGCAATCATCATAAACTGATAGTCAGACATTTGAACAAGGGTGGTTCAGTTGTTAATTTTAGAAGCAATTTAATACTAGTTGATTATGTAATATTAAGTAGCCATCAAAGCAACTGTTTCTCTTTCTCCAGACAAAAAGGAGGAGGGTAGAGGGAACAAAATCAAGGTGCATCATTCAAATTACACCTAATTGGCAGGCCGGTCCACTCCTCTGTGAAAATCCAATACCAAATCTCATTCAGCTGCGTTCTTACATCTCTGTTTCAATCAGCAAATGAAGTAGCCTCAATAAGATGTGATAAAACTCATACATTTTAACAAGTGCACTCAGGCTGCCTTTCTCCTCAACTGGTCTGCTCTCAGACCATCGCCTGTCCAGCCCCATCAAGTGGTGAACAGCCAGACAACGCGGGGTTAATCAGTGTCACTAATGGAGACTGGGCTGCCTGGAGACATGGCCATTACCTCTGGAAGAAGGGATCATGGGGTATGGGATTGTACAGTCAGGAGGAATTTAAATCGGGTATCTTTCATGCTCGAAGGAAGATGGTGCACTGAGAGAATGAAACAAACAACTTTTACTAGAGAGGCTGATACATGAGCCATGATTCCACATTTAGCTTGCAACTAAAGAAATGAAGACGTGATAATGACTACATTTGAACCCTAAATGACCAGGTTTAAATGTTTTTTCATATCTGAAACCCCAATCGGCAGTCTAAGTGGATTGAAGATGTTTTCTTTCTTTACTTAAAGGAGCAGTGTGACTGACCTTTTGAATGCCCTTGAAGTTTAGCGCTTCTTCAGCTAAACTGAGCTTTGCATGTGTAAGGGGGAAACTACGGTGGCCATGAAACTTACATAAAACATAAAGGCCCTATCAACCTTTATGTCCTATGTCCAACAAATGCACAAGTCATGATGTGATGTTTTTCTTGTCATATTGCAATGGGTGGCAATGTAGCTCAGTGGTTAGTGGGTTTGAATCAACATTCTGGCTGTGTGGGTTTTCTTCTGGGTGCCCAGTTTCCTGAGAGATACAGATTAGATGATATGGAGACTCTAAATGATCCTTTTTGTGGGTGTAAATGTGTTTGTCTGTCAAATTAGCCCATATTACTGTAGGATGTGCAGCACCTCTTGCTTGTTACATGAAACAGTCTATTTCACTAATAATAATATTTATTACACTATTGTCTACTGTCCACAAATGTTTGCTTATATATATGTATAACTGTACATATTAGTCTATGTCTATTTTGTTGAACTTGTTTTATCTATTGATGCTGTTAGTCTGTGTTTGTACATTAAGAGCAAGGTAAAACCAGAGTCAGAAAATGTCAAACTATTCATTGTTTTTAGTTTTAACAAGACAAACAGAAGGCTACAATAGTTTATTCAGTTTTAATAAAAAAAGTTTCAATACAAAATCACAGCAGTAAGTTAAACATTTGTACAGACCTATCAGACAATCAATCTCCAGCAATTAAAATGTTGTATTTTTTGTTGAATGTTATTTATAAGACATACTGCTCTGCGCACTTTGTGTTGAACCTATTAATTAGCCTCTGAGTCCCCATTTGCTGTAACAATCATAGCGCAGTTTGTTGAATATTGAATGATCTCTCTGGCTGTCATTGAGTAGCAGGAAAGTGGAACCAGGAAAGTGGTGGTCCACTGTGTGCAGCTGCTGTGCAGAAAGTTCAGCATTGTCACATAATCTAAAATCCTTGCTGGTATAATTATGTTAGACTGTGAACTGGAACAAAAAGTTAACCTATGGGTTCATAATAGGGTTTAAAATATATCTTGGATAAATGTAGTCCCTATTATCACCTAAAGATACAGTGTGTAACATTTAGGAGGATCAATTGGCAAAAATGGAATGTAATACTCATTGGCATGTTTTCATTAGTGTATGTTCACCTGAATATAGAAATCGTTGTGATTTTGTTACTTAGAATTATCTACAGAAGCCGTGGGTGGCTTACATGGATGATGCTATGTTTAACCCCCATGTAGCCCAGAACAGACAAACCAAACAATGGCTCAGGGCATTTTTTGCGAGTTTCACGTCCACCATAGTTTCTCCCTTGTGCTCCGAAGGGGGCGTGAAGCAAGTGAGTTGCAATCTGCAGCACTAGATGCCACAAATCCTACACACTGGTCCTTTAAAGAGCAATATATCATTGATATTCCTAATTGTGTATATTTAATATTCAGCTCAAGGCTGATCTGAGCCTCGTATCTTGTCAAACTTGACTTCAGTTTGCCTAAGAGGGTGTGAGTGAGCTTAGAGTTCAATTAAGATTCCTCCAACCTGTCAGATGCAACTTCTCCTGCCTGAGATATTGGCATAAGGGCTGATTAAAATGAACTCACGCATGAAATAGACATGTCTTCATCTTTCAGTGGCAGGCACGATCATGTGGAAAGTGAGATGAGGAGACTGATCTACTGAAAAGTTACATAGTGGCAATTAAATCCTTTAATTTGTCAATACATTGCAGCAGAGACTATCCTGCGTCATCAGTGTGTCATCTGTTGGTGTTATTTCGGCAGTCAAAGCTTGATATAGCCAGATGAAAGTGTTTACTCTGAAACATCTCAGCAGCTGCATTTTTTCTATCTCTGGGGAGAAGCTTTTATGTGTTTTAATACCTTTTTGAACAACAACAGTGTTAGAGAATGAAGACATCTCATAAAATACTGCGATGCAGAGACAATTTAATAAGAACAAATGTGAAGTTACGCAGCTGAGAGGTGCTTTCTCACTGCCTGTATTGCACTGGGTAGGCTACAGTAGACCCAGCTGCTACCTTTTAGAGGTTAATTTCGTTGCTGCACATCAATTTCTGTTTTCGATTTTAAAAGACAAGTCATGGCTAAAGTCAAGTGTACTCACACACACACACAGTCACGGAACAAGTGGAGAGAAAGTGCAATTATTTTTTACACCTTTCATGAAGTAGAGACCTCAGTGAAAGTTGGCCAGAGGCTGGTGAACTCCTGGTGGACTGTGACTGTCTGTATGACTGATGTTCTGTGGTTGGAGGAGAACAAATGAATTTTCTATATTTGTAGCTGATCACAAAGCAGCATGCAGGCTTCTGCACAGATCCACTTCAGCTCAGTGGATCTGTGCAGAAGAACAATGTGTTGACAGAGAGGTTGTATGAATTAGTGGTAACAGTGCTGCCTTATTTTTTGGACAATACACCACATTATAGACTTAGACTTAGACTAGACTTAGACTTCACTTTATTGA